GTTCCGTTGCTGATGGGTTCTGATTTTGAGTATACTCGGCCTTCTTAGGCTTTTTTCCCTTCATTGTAAATGAATCGCCTTTCTAATTAGTTTTCTGAGTCGACGTCCGACTTATTGATTCCCAGTGCTGGGATCCGAGCGACCCACTGTGGCAGCCTAAATAGCAGCGATAAGACTGATGGTGCTCTTCTGCCCGGGAATCTCTGGTCTGGCTTCCCTCTTGAGTCCGCAACAAGCGGCTCTGACTTCCCGGAGGCTCCAAACTCCGGTCAGTAGGGGAAGCAGTCCCATTGGCTCTGCGTGAAGAGCTGCTGCGCCGAGACGTCGGCAAAACCGCTGCGGCAGCCACAAGAGTCGCGCTGGCGACCCGTGGGGCTCCTCCACTGGGAATTGGCTAATCAGTGAGTGACGAAAATTCGTCTAATGATGTGGCGTCGTCTCGTTCTCTGAGCTTTCACTGGGAGCTACAATCCTGAGCTGTTAGTGGTCGGCCATCTTGGATCCAATTGTTCTTTCCCTCTCTCTTTCTAAAGTCTTTATACTAAACTTCCTTGTTCAATTTCCTGCGTGGTTTCTCTCTCCTGATTGGACCAGGTTGATAAGGTGGTTTCCTCTACAAGGAGATCTACCATCTACCGATAAGATGGTTTCCTCTGCAAGGAGCCTCCAGGCCGCCCCTGTCCTGTGTCCAATAGTGCCCTGAATGTTCATTAAGATTCTGTGGTAGCAAAAAAAGGGATTTTAAAGACCCTGCCCAAGGGCCTGGACTTGCATAGTCTGAGCCTGGGTGGAGAGCACCTTGTCTTATTCGCCCAAGGCCCCATTTGCTTCTTGGGCTGTATCTCTTGTGCCCATTTCTTCTCACAAGGTGGATGGAACAAAAATGCCTTCCCAGCTGGGTGGGGAAAAGCCAAAGCTAAATGGCAGCTCTGAAATTGGTGAAGCTGCTTTTTTCTTCCCCTGCCTCTCCCAGATCCTTCCTGAGGGTGAATGGCTGGAGTGGAATAGCTTGGTCAGCCTGGAAACTGCAAGCTGCCCCTCTTCCCACCACACTCTCAATCTGGACTTCATCTGGGTCTCTGATGGGATGAGCTGGGATGGTGCAGCCATGAGGATGAGGATTGATGGCAGACTTGATTGGAAGGACACCTCCCAGGGCCTTCTGGGGTTCTAAGAAACCAGAGAAAGCCCAAGAAGAGTAGCTCACGAGGACCTGTCACCACACCTAGAAGAGGTCACTTACTAATACATCCTCTGAACTTCTTCCTATTTCTACTTCTGTCAACATTTCTTCTGCTAAACTACCAGCTCGATTTCTCCAAAACGCCCTATGTCCAGTTACAACCACTCATCACTCTCCTTATGAGTTCTGGTATGGTGTTCTGTCCCTTTCCCATGCTGCTCCCCCTCCCTAGAGCATCCTCCTTCCCCTGGATACAGCTAAGCTTTCAGGTCCAGCACCACATCCTTTGGGAACTCTTCCAGGATTCTGAGTTGATCTGAGCAGCCCAGGTATATTACTCACACCCTGCACTGGGCAACCAGACTGCCATCTCCTTAAAGACAGGAAATGAATTTTCATCTCTATGCTAGGGTGTAGCTCAGTGCCTGTGTGCCTATATTTTTCTTTTCTTTTCTTTTCTTTTTTTTTTTTGAGACGGAGTTTCACTCTTGTGACCCAGGCTGGAGTGCAATGGCGCAATCTCGGCTCACTGCAACCTCTGCCTCCTGGGTTCAGGCAATTCTCCTGCCTCAGCCTCCCAAGTAGCTGGGATTACAGGCACGCGCCATCATGCCCAGCTAATTTTTTGTATTTTTAGTAGAGACGGGGTCTCACCATATTGACCAAGATGGTCTCGATCTCTTGACCTCATAATCCACCCACCTCGGCCTCCCAAAGTGCTGGGATTACAGGCTTGAGCCACCGCGCCCGGCCTATTTTTCAAAGAAAAAAGTACATAAGTAAAAAAGGACTACTTGTCTTATCTGAGCTTGAGGTTATTCAATGCATATCCGCTGTTACTGGAACCTGGTTAAATGTCATTAATACTAATGAAGAAACAAAGGCACAAAATGTTTAGGTGACCTGCTTAAGTCACACAGCCAATAAGTGACTGAGGCCAAACTCTAACAGGTAGCCTCTCATGGATGACATTTGGAGGAGCTACAGGAGGGTGATGTTCTTGGAACATGGGTCAGGGCAGCCAGGAGGGCACGAGAGTCTGTCAGGTGGTTGCTGAAATTACTTCACTGTCTGTCCTTTTAGAACTAGGGAGGGAAAGCCAACGTCACTGGGAAGTTGTCCTCGGCATGTGGTCGTAGGCATTGCTCAATGTTCTCTCTGGGAAGTGGTATACTGTGATGAGAGCTGGTGGGGAGGGGACCTAATAGGCCTTATCAGAGGAACCAGCAGGGACCCCCTTACCCCTGTACCCTCACACATCTATAGACACAACACTCACATCTCAGAAGCCAAGCCAGACAATTTGAAGCAAATAGCTCTACTGCCCTGAGTTCAGTTAACATGTCCTGAGCTCAGCCAGCACTTCCTGCTCATGGTGTGGTTATAAGAACCAGAGCTGAGGTCGGAGCAAGGGGCTCAAAAGATGGATGGTGCCTGGGGCCCAATCCCATCAGAGAGACATGGGACAAGTATGACTGGCCACAGAGGTAACTTATCAGTTCCGCTGCTGAAAGCCATCGGTGTTTATCTGCATTTCTAGGGGATCATGGCATTGCCAACGGGTAGCTCATTGCATACCGAGTGCCTCACGGGTCTTGTGTGTGGTTGTTGTATCCGGAGCACTTGGCGCTTCACGTGCCTCATGTATATTTAGTGTGTGTCATGAATATTCAGTGCCCACTCAGCTCCTTCATCCTTTCCTATCTGTACATACACACACATGCCTCACATCTTTATCTATGCCTAACATGGCTCACAAGCATTTGCTTCTACTTTGTTTCAACTATCCTCCTGATTTGTTTGTCTTATTTACTAGAGCAGAATCCAACATTCTAAGCCCAGCCAATTCACATTACACCAGGTCTGTCTACTAGAATAGTAAACCCCAATTCTGAACTCCACTTTACAATCTGCAAAGGTCTTTCACATTCACAATCTGATTTCATCTTTGCCACTGTCCCATGAGGCAGGAGTTAACATCCCAGTTCAGAAGATGAGCACACTAAGGCTCAGAGGTTAAATGACTTTCCTCAGGCCACACACACACATTCAGTTGGTGGCAGAGAGGACATGAGCTCCAGTCCTCTGGCCTCTGGTCAAGCATGTTTCCAGTTCTATCAGCCCACCCCGAATCATTTTCACCCCTTAAGGATCCCCAACTCTTGTAGCAGGACTTGCAGAATTCATACCTTTTATTCCAGCTCCTGACCTGGTAAAATCTGATCTGAATAAGCTATTACTTCTAGTACCCTGGGTATCAGACACACACACACACATGCATGCCACAGAGAAAGGAGCTGCAGCAATGAGCAGGCCTGAGCAGCAGTCTCGCAGGGCCTTTTCTAGTCAATGACTGCAGACCTAACTTCATGGCCATTATTTCACAAAGGGGGTCCTCAGGAGGCTTCCCTGCAGCCAGTCCCTCCAGAAGCTTATCTGCTTAGGCAGAGGGACAGCAGTTTGAGCAGAAGAGCATCTGCACCCTGAGAATACCATAGCCCTCTCAGCATTAAACCCCAGGCCAACAACACTCTGCCAATCTCTGATTCCTCCATTTCCTCCCTTTTCAAGTAAGCCAAGGACCAGGGAAAGAATGTTCTGTATGAGTCAACCAGCCAAGCTGCACCCAGAAAACCCAACAGCCACTTAAAACAGGAGTAAGCATTCGTGCATGAGCCAGCCTTCCACAGAGGCTGACACGGGCCCACTTCTCCAAATGTGTGCAATACTAAGGGTGAAGGAGTGGAGGGGGCTGGCCCAGGGTCCTGCAGCCTGGCCCACCAGGGCTGCTTGTGTGTGTGCTGCTGCTGCTGGCTGCACAGCCTCTGCAAAGCTGCCTCTTGCTGTTGCTGATGGTCCAAGGGGTCTCAATCACTGGATAAGAGGAACATCACACTGGGTGTGGCTCTGCCTGAGGTGAGACTTGATGTGTGACTAGTGTAAGTCAAACTAAAAACAAGGATCACTTTAATTATCCCATTTGGCCAAAAGATCCCTTCTGGGAAATAATTCCTTTGTGCGGAAGTCCTCAAATACATGTTTGGAAGCTTGGATTTCAGGCACCAGAGGCTAGTAACCTCTGGTTTGCTCTGGTTCAGAAACCACTTGGCTTCTCCCCTATTGAAGAAAGGCCCTCCCAGACCATTGCAGAGTGGAGGTGGGACTCTCCTGTGGGGTTAACATGGCTGTGAAGGGTAATAGTGAACCACACATTGAGGCCTGGCATGATGCCCATCAGCTTATGTGTGTGATGGCACAAGATCCTCACAGGGGCCTCTGGATCATACCATCAGACACTGATGACTCACCAAAGGTGATTGACACAGCTGGACTTAAGCAGATACGTTTGCAAAGGCCAGCCTGTGCTCTTGGCAAATTTGCTATCTCTGGCCAGATGCAGATTTAGAAGTTGTACAGTCCAACTCCCTCCAATAGCACACATTAAAAAGAAAGAGACAATAGACTGGAAAGTAAAGGGACAATGATGTTCCAGACAGAAGGTGCTGCACATGGCAAAAAAAAAAAAAAAAAAAAGGACACAAAAGCAAGGGATAAAACAGAGTGCTTGGAACACAGCAAGAGGTTCAGAGAAGCCAGAACTTAGTTGTAAGAGAGCCAAGGTCGCTCAGGCAGGGAAGGGCTGATCCCTGCAGAATCTGCCATGGCATCCAGGTCCTATCCTGAGAGGCTAAGCCATCATCCAAGGATTTTGGATTTTAAAATAGATGAATTGAGGTTAGAGAACTTGTCTACGGCTCAATGGATAGCTTTTAAGAACCAAAAACACCCAGACCCCTCATCAAGGTGAGGCCTGCCCTTTCCATCACCCCACCCTGCCTGTCTTGGGCTGTGCAGCTTCTGGCATAATTTTCTTCTGCAAGCAGGAGAAACAAGGCAAGCCCAGACTTAAGATGAAGATGAAGACAAGGAGTCAGCATGGAGCTTAACAACCAGGCCTCCCCTGAGCCTGGGCCTGGCCTAGAACCACCCACCTCCCACTACTCACTCTGTGATTTGTGACCTGAAAGCAAAAGGCTCAGAAATTTGACCCAATGGTTGATGTTCCCAGGAGAAGGAAGTCTGAATGGGTAAGAGAAAGTGACACCCTAGTGTGTTGAATTTCAGGACATGAAGAACATGTTCAGAGAGCATCTATGATGGTTTCAACTGCTCCTTGAGTTAGGACCTGCCATTTGGCATCGGAATGACTCTAAACTTTAGGCCACCAGAGAGGGATCCTTTAGTGAGAAGTTGCATGTCTCTTTAAGCAAACCTTATATACTGATGTTTTCAGTTAACAACTTGAGAAGAGACTGACTTCTTAAATGACAGGATTTACCTGAATGACTTTAAAATTGTTCATTCATTAAATTGGTAAATGCTAAACCTGAGCTATGTAATAAACCAGGTGCCAGGATGCCAGGATGTGTGGGCTGGGTGCCACCATATCCTTCAAGGAGATGCATGCAAGCTGAGTGCTTAAATAAAATAAATATCAGAAACAATATATAACATAGAGTACAGTACATGCATTAAATATTAGTCAGGAAAAAGAAACAAGGCGAGACAAGTGAATACATGTGAGGCTGAAGCTGGCCTTTTGGACTCAGTCAGGCTGGCAAAGTATTACATTAGCCAGCGTTTCCCAGACTAGCTTGTGCTGAAGCTGTCATCTGTGGTCCTGCATCTGGCAGAAGACGTCCTGGTGTGGGGATCGTGCACCACCTAGCGTTGGCATAAGCCACTGTACATGTCACAAATGTTGGAAGGAAGGCACCCTCCCCGAAAGAAATCTGTGGAGCTCATAATTTTTCAGTGCACTGCCCAATGCCATAAATGCTTACATATGTTATCTCATCTAGACTGTATTAGAGCCCTATGCGGATGATATTGTCATCACCATGTTACTGATGCAGCTGTAGAGATTCAAAAAGGTTAAACCATTTGATCAAGGTCCCCTGAACTAAGGGCCAATGCAGAGAATTGAACCTCCCTCCCCCTGTACTCTGTTAACTTCCTAGTTTTTCTGGTATCGAGGAAAGGATTAGGCATCTCATGACCAGGCTTAGAATTCTTGGATGATGGCTCAGCCTCTCAGGATAGGACCCAGACCTCATGGCAGTTGCTGTGGATATCAGCCCTTGCCAGCCTGAGTGGCCTTGGCTGTCTTACAATAGAGATAAGTTCCGGCTTCTCTGAACCTCTTGCTGTGTTCCAAGCACTCTGTTTCATCCCTTGCTTTAGTGTCTTTTTTTTTAAGGCGAAGTTTCACTTTTTGTTAGCCAGGCTGAGTTCAGTGGCATGATCTTGGCTCACTGCAACCTCTGCCTCCTGGGTTCAAGCGATTTTTCTGTCTTAGCCTTCTGAGTAGCAGATTACAAGCGCCTGCCAACATGCTCGGCTAATTTTTTTTTCTATGTATTTTTAGTAGAGATGGGGTTTCACCACACTGGCCAGACTGGTCTCAAACTCCTGACCTCAGGTGATCCACCCACCTTGGCCTCCAAAAGTGCTGGGATTACAGGTGTGAGTCACCGCACCCAGCCCTAGTGTCTTTTTTCCCCCCATGTGCAGTACCCTCTGTCTGAAACATCATTTTTCTTTTATTTTCCTACCTAGTGCCTCTTTCCCTTTAAGATGGTTAAAGAGAAACTTCTGCCAGGAAGCCTCCCCTAGCCCTCTCAGGTTGTGCTAGTTGGCTCTCCTCTGTGTTTCCACAGCCCTGTGTGCATTCCCAGGTCACAGTGCACCACAGAACACCTGTCAGTCATCTGAACACAGAACACCTGTCAGTCAACACCCCCCAGAAGACTGTCAGCTCTGTGTCCCCAGCACCGAGCAGATGCTCGACCCATTGCAAGAGCTTGATAAATGGGTGTGTTTTTGTTCTTTGAAGTGGATAGACTGAGATTTTCTGGATGGATTCGAAGTGGATCTGATAGTCTACAGGTCAAGTAAACAGACTGTTACCTGTCACAGGCAGGAAGCCCTTTGAGCACTTGCGTGCTTTCAATCCACTGGGTTCCCCTAAATCCAATCATATGGAGATATTGTCAGCAGAAGATTACCCCATGATCTCAGATGTCAGAGCCAGCCACCCTACCTGCACTCTGCCAATTCTCTTATTTTCTGTTTCTGAAAGCCTGCTATATTCCTGAAATATAACTGGAACTTAGCCTACATCTATCAATTTGCAGATGCTGGGACTAAATGTCTAAGGATATATCATTCCCTCTTCAGACCTTGAAACCTAGATGATTACCCCACACATGAGAACATGTGGCATGACTAAGGTCACTTGAGTTTGAGGCCACAGAGGCAGTGTTGTGTGAGGCTAAGCACACCAGCTCTGCAGTCAGAATGCTTTGGCCATGTCAGGTAACATCTCCGCTTGTGGCAAGGTTGTGGCCCCAGGGAAGGACGGCTGGCTTTTACAAATCTGATGCAATCTTTTTTTTTTTTTCTCTTTACTGCCTCCCTTCCCTTTCTGCATGCTGGCCATCCAAGGGAGGGCTGCAGAAGAGAAATCTTCCCAGCTGAGAAGGTGATGGCTGGTGAGTCGGTTCTGAAGATCAGTAAGTAGGGTGGATGTAGGTTGGTCTCAGCCAAAGGCTACTCTTGGAACACATGCAGAGTCCTCAGTGAAGGCAGATGAGACTCAGCCTTCTCAGGAGTACAGTGCCATCATCATCCACTGGACATGTTAGGAAAGCAAATGATAATCAGTTCAGACCCACCTCTCACCTGGGCCTCCCCACCCCACACTCCTGGGGAGCCGTGGAGACAGAACATTAATGGATGGTTTAGCCAGAGGGACCATACCATCCATTAGGAGGTATAAATCAACCTGAAATATAATCAACTTTGACTTCTCACGGTGCCTATGAATGATGACAGCCAAATACAGGCTGATTCTGTATTCAATTCTCAATGAAATTTTTTTCCCATGAATTCAATTTGGCATGCTTGTGCCAGCTCTGTGCAGGTGTGCAAACTGGCAGGGTAGCAGAAATCCATTTAAGCATATTCTACATGTTTACATTATGGGCCTGTTGGTCTGACAGCTTTATGTGGGTGTGATGAACAACCCCTCTAACTCATATACAGGGGACCTCTAGGGAAACTACTCCCCAGACCAATCCCTAAGAATGATAAAGCTGAGAATAGTGAAGGTACCAATGGTGTCAGAGAAAGCCTCAGCGTGAAATCCAACAAGGTGGCTGCCATTCCCTGCAGACCTTGGGTGGTCCTGATCCTCACTGAAGCAGAGGTGGTCAGAGCTGGAGGCAATCTCAGAGACCACCTAATTCCACTCATGTCACATGTGGGGCAGCTGAGGCCCAGAGATTTAATGTGATTTGCCTATGGTCCCCAAGCTAGTTACAAGGAATGTTGTGGCTTCGATCCAGTTCTCAAACCCCAGTACAGTTCTCTTCCTGTGACCACTCTTTGCCCACTGGACTCTGCTCAGGGTTGGACTGACCTGTTTCAGGTGCCACACTTGTGTTGTCCTATCCTCCCAGACCTGAGCCTGCCACTATGGATGGACCACCAGGGATCAGGAGTGATGACTCAGCACTCGAGAGTGGGGCTAAGCAGTTCAGGGATGGGCTCAGGTAATTCTGGCCATTGGCCCTCCAGTAGAATCCCACTTCACACCCACTTCACACCGAATCTTGGAGGGATTGAGGGGTGACACAAACTACAGGTCCCAAAAGCTTGGAAATTAATTCCATAAAATGGACATTTGAGATTAAGAAAGACATTCCAGCTTTTATGGAATCATTTCTAAGCACACTAAACAGAGGAAGGGTTGCAGAAAAAAAGAGCAGAGGATTGAACTCCAGACTCCAATGTCCTTGAAATGAACATTACCTAGCACCACACCTGGCACCTAGCATCTGCTCAATATATCAGCGCATTTTGAGTGATCGGGACAGATAATCAGTTTTATATGTGAATTTGCCTTCTCCTAGGCATATCACTTCATTCACTTAACAAACTGTATGAGACTTGGGAAGACGTCACAAAAACAAGAGTAAATGTAAAACAAGATGCTGCACATGTGGGGAAGGCTACGCCAGCCCTTCAGTGAGGTTTATCTGCGGCCTGTACGTCCTGCCTAATCTAACCCTGATCTCTTGAGACTCATATTGAGCCATTTCTCCTCATTCTCTGTGTGCTAGCCTGGATTGCATACACTGTTCCATCTAGCCCAGACCCTTCCTACTCTGCCCTCTACCAGCTTGTCTTTGAGGCTTCAATCTCAATGTCACCTTCTCCAGAAAGTCCTTGGTAGAACCCCATCTAGACTAGTTCTCCCATTACTGTCTACAGTACAGTAGAAAGAGCTACAGCTCTTTTTTGGACCCAGGTCCTCACGCATCTGTGTCCACATCCTGCTATGCCTGCAAAGTGATATGAAAGAGGAGGAAATGGGCTTGGCCATGTGATTGCTTTGGACAACAGAATGACTTGCAGGTGTGCCAGACTGAAGACTGGGTTTCAGAGGCCTTGCATGTTTAAGCTCACTTTCTTACGTTTCTCCTGTTTCCCTGAGAAGAACAAACCTAGGCAGGATTTCCTCAATTCAGGTACCCAGAAAAGTCCTCAGCCAACCTACATATGCACTAGCAAGCTAGCTGAAATCCACTGACTCCCAGCCATGTGACTCGGAAGCGAAATAAGTACGTGTCATACATATGCTGCTGAAGTTGTGTAAATTTGTCACATGGCATTATTGCAATCAGAGTTACTGGATACACTAAGTTAGTCTCCCAATCCTTTCATATGTGCCTGCCACAAAGTGGGTGCCCAGAACACATCTGATGGATGAATGAATGAATGAGTGAGTGCAATGAATGTAGTGCTCTATTTCAAATTCAGCAGAATAAAGGGTCCCCAGAGCTCTTCTCTTCACAAGAGCATGGTCCTACAAGGACCACCTCTACCTAAGATGACATGAGTCACTTCCTTGGGGCAAGACTTACCTCTGACTTCTGGAGGTATATCCCTTTGCCATCTTGGGTTAAGTTTTGGAAAACATCTGTGAAAATGGAGCACAGCTAATGTGTATATTGGAAACATTCTGAATTAGTTCCTCCCACATACCTCACCTTAGCTACATCCATTTGGAAAACATGCGGGAACCCAATGTCAGACTACATGTGACCACACACAGCCACACCTATGATAAGTGAGCCGCTTCAAACCTTTGCCTCTGGAATAAGGCAGGGAACTAATGAGTTTGGGTGTCTGCAGCCAGGCCTCACAGGCACTTGGCTGGAGTTCCCGATAGCTTCCCTGGTCTGCTGTTTCTGGGATGGCAACTGTCCTGTCTTTTGCTTAAAATAGAGACAGGTGGGAAGTCATGGGGCAGCACAGGAAGCCCTGACCCTCCCCCACTTCCCGCCAGCTCACCCTCCATGTTCTCTACACGCAGCATCAAGTGGACAAAGCTGACAAAGTCCATCTGGAGGCTGGGGCCACCATAGCGGATGAGCATCAGCTGACAGACATCATCACTGAGCACGATTCCTGCATTGAGCACAGGCTCCTGCTGTGGGTGCTGGGAGCTTGCACCCAGCTCCCCTCCTGCCCAAAGCCCCTTTAATTGTCCCTCCACTTTAGGGACCTGAATCCTGATAGCATGGAAATCTTCTTTTATAGGGTTCATTTTGAATTGTTTCATTGTTTAACCAATTTATTTTATTTAATCCCTATTCCTCACCCCTGCCTATTAAGGCTATCAACATGGGGCTGTTTTCATCAAGTATGTGATTGGCCTTCATGGAAGGAGGCAGTCTGCTAAGTGCTCAAAAGGACCTGATCTGGAGCCTGGTAGTCCTGGATTTAAACCCCAAGCCACTAGCTTCAATTTCTTCCTTTGTGAAGTGAGGATTATAACAAAGCGGTGTTGAAGATTAAGTGAGAAGCTGAATGTGCGAACCGTCCATCAATGTTGGCTCTGATCACAGTGACAGTCATAAAAAGTGTTTGTGTTGATTGCAGAGCTACATCTTTGAGAATCACACTGTGCATTCGAGTTACTTCAGCATGCCACACATCCCCCCCCCGCCTCGTGAGTGTGCACCCTGCCCGTGTGTGCCCACAGCACCAGCATTTCCTGTGCCTACCTGCCTCCCTCATGGCAGCCTGCAGCTGTGCCCAGCTCAGGTATCCTGACCCATTGTCTCGCTTGTAGAAAACCTTCTGTAAAGAACCAAATAAGAGGTTCGGGAAGTCAGGCATTTCCAAGCACCATCTGAGACCCCTGTGTGACCCCTGTCAGCACTGCAGAGGGGCTGTTGAAGATATCTGAGGCTCCACATGCAGGGCCTGCTGCCAAGATAAGAATATGGCAGAGTCCACGCCAGGATCCCACCACCTCATGTTTCCTACAGAACAAGGCTTCTGAGAAAGAGAAAAGTCTTTTTTTCATGGGGTATAGAAAGTCTTGGTGTGGGTAAATGTGCTTAACGTAAGCACATTATCCACACTCTAAAGTGATTCCAGCTTTCTGACTCAGGAGAAAAGTGGGAGAGTTGTGAGTTGTAACCAATGATTGGAAGAACAAGAAGGAGCAATTTTATGAAAGACTTTAAATGCCAAGTGTGCCAAGGAGTTTGGTCTTTCTCTGAAGCCCATGAGGAGTCTTAAAAAGAAAGCAGCATGATCAGATGTGTGTTTTGGAACTTCAGGAGACTACTGCAGCCAGCTCTCTGAGTTTGAAAGAGACCGATGGAAGAAATGCTCACGGATGGAAGAGTGAAGAAGTTTGGCGAGTTGGATATAAAGGGCTGCAGGGGAAAGAAGTGTCTCGTATAGCTTTGCAGAATTGCCATTTCTACACCATCTTCCAAAGAGCAGTGGTTAGACTTGTTCTTACCTGATAGAGCTTCAGCTGCTTCCACAGGTCCCTGAATTCCTGGATGCTCATAGTACCTGAGGCATTAAGCTGATGAATGGGTTAAGGTAAAAGCTACCAGGGAGAGTTCCATCCATGCTTTGGAGGCAGTGATCCACGCTCCACAAAGCAATTGGCAATTTGTGGATGGCCTCATTCAGTATCTGATCATGTCTGATTTCACCAGTTGGCCTTACCCTCCACCCTTGCTAGGGAAAAGCAGAATAAGCCACAGCACAGCAGTGCTGGGAGAAGTGGTGATGATGGAGGTGATGATAGTGACCACCACAGGTGGCATTAAGTGAGTCAGGATATTTTGACATGGCCAATTTGATGTGATTTACATTAAAAATAGTAACTGTTTTTCATTATTAATTTAAAAAAACAGCTTATGGAAGGAGTCAGGCAGAAGGTGGCTAAACTTTTTAAGTTTAATGGTTGGCCTTGTAGACCATGCCCAGATACCCCTAGCATCAGAGACATTGGGTCAAAGTACCACCATACCCCATCTCTGTTTGAGCCCTCACCATGAATCTATCACTGAGTTACACACTTCACCTGTAATAGGTGAGGTAGGAATTAACTCCCCCATGTTCTAGTGGATGAAATGAGCACTTGGAAAAGGTCTGATCTTGTTCGAGTTCATACAGCTGGTTACAGGGCTGGGCTCTGCCCCATGCCTGTACCTGTACACCTAATCCTGCACTGTCTCTGAGTTTCCGCAGACTGTTTTTGTTTTTTAAACCTCCCTTAGGCTATCTGCTCAATATGTCTCTCCATAGTATGGATGATCAAACTTTGATTACAATTATCCACTTAGAAAGGCAGTGCATTTGCTAGAAATATTGCAGGGTTGAGAAACAGAACAGCTGAGTTCATGGCATGCTGTTTAACTTCCCTGAGCCCCGGTTTCCTGATGTGTGCATGGGTGCAGCCACCACCCAGTTATTAAATGGAAAACATATGGCCCTAAGGCTTTGGAAAGGCTCTTGTAAACCTGGAGAGCTGTTACTAACCACCACCTTATAACTGCCTCATCCTCATTCCCAGGAAATGAGATTATTGTGATGGATGGCTGATATTGGTCACCTGTTAGATGATAGCTCTGTTCTCAACATTTTATCTGTACTATCCCATTTGCATTCCCACATTAATCCTACCAAGTAAGTTTCAACACTCTCTCCATGCTCCAGATGAGCACCTGGATGCATAATGAGGCTCAGAGAATTTGTCCAGGATCTACAACTGGCAAGGGCTGGGGATGGGATTCAAATCCACTCTTCCTAGCTCCAGAGTGAAGCTCTCAATCAACAGCACCCATCCACCCACAAACTGAAAAGATACATCCAGTAACGCCAGGATCCCCTGGCAGGCTTCCAGGCTGAAGAGGGGCTGTGTGCTCCCCAGACCTGTAAAGGAGCAGAAAGAGGCCACATGGAGGCTGGACCCAGGTCTGAAAATCCCTTTTCTGAGCAGGAAGAGGCAGTGCTGCCTGGGCCAACTGTAGGCTCTGATGATCACCATGTATGTGGACTGGGCAGAATGAGAATGGAAGGTAGGAGAGAGAGTGTGGGGGGTGATGGTTATTCCTTCACCCATGGAGCAAGTCAAATGCTGCAGGGACACCTGGCATGGCTTTGCTTTGCTTTGCTTACACAGAGGGCCAGATGAGCATGCCTTTTGTACCTAGGGATGGCCAGGATCCAAGAGGTCAACTTGTTCAAGCTCCCACCCAAATTAGGGGATTCTTTCCTCAGGTTTCTTTCTTTTTTCTTTTTTTTGAAATGGAGTCTCACTCTGTCACCCAGGCTGGAGTGGCATGTTCTTGGCTCACTGCCACCTCCACCTCCCGGGTTGAAGCAATTCTCCTGCCTTAGTCTCCTGAGTAGATGGGATTACAGAAGTGCACCACAACACCTGGCTAAATTTTTATACTTTTAGTAGAGACAGAGTTTCACTATGTTGGCCAGGCTGGTCTCAGACCCCTGACCTCAAGTGATCTGCCCACCTCGGCCTCCCAAAGTGCTAGGATTACAGGTGTGAGCCACGACACTGTCCCTCCTCAGGTTTCTTGATGGATGGTCTGTCAGTTACGGGTGCTCATTTTACACGTGGGTGAAGAGCTACAGTGAGGAGAAACTTCTTCTGTTAAGTCCAAAGGAACCTCCTATAATATTGGCTCACTGGCCCTAGTTTCATCTCCAGAACACCATAAAATGATATTTGTCTCTTCTTTGACTTCTGCTTTCCTTTTAAACATCTAAATATTTCTCAGACTACTCGTCAGATGCAATGGTTTCTAAACCCTCGACATCCTTTTCTGAGCCCTACATTTGCCAGTATCTGTTCAAAATATGGTACCAAGATTTGAAAACAGTCCTCCAGATGCAATTTGATTGAACAGAACACAGTGGACCAATCACCTCCAGTTTTCATCAGCAGTTCCCAAATTGTGTTTCAAAGGAGATTTTCTGCAGACAAAGAGTTCTGTGGTCAAAGAAATGTGGGATACTTTGCATCTATCAATGCTTGTCTTCATTCACCTTGCACTTTACTGTGCGCGAGGTACTGAAGACCCAAGTACAATTGACCACAGAAGCTAACCCCTTTTATTTCATGGAACACTTACCAAACCTCTTGGTTTCCAATGTTTCCTGGAACACAGTTTTAAAAACATACATCTAAATGTTCCCATTAAATGCAGCCTGAATGTGTATAAGCTTATTTAGCAGCAACTCAAAACTATTAGTTCATGTTAGCTAGATGTCAACTAAATTAACCAAATATCTTTCACATAAACTGCCACAAAAATGAGGTCTCTTCTGTTAAGAACTTGTGCTCCCATTTTAAAACGGTATATATCAAAATGGTTTATTATCTTCCTGACTACATTTCATCTTTCTGGTTTGGGCACAGCTTGTTGAAAACATTCTGAATTTCAATTCTGCTATCTATTATATTAATGATTTCTTCCAGCTTTGTGCCATCTGCAGCTCCAATAAGCCTATATTCCATGTCTTCTTCCAAGACATTAATAAAAATTGGGGAAATGAACAGGACCAATGGCAGAATCGAAGAGCTCATATCTAAACATCTAAGCATATAGACTCTTGCCTGTAACTAGATAGAATTATTTCTCTAGTTTTATATTTGTACAACTCTTGGGAATGGCGATAAGATTTGTTGTGAATACATCTACTTTTATTATTTTCCAACCCACATTTTATTATTTATCATGGGAGACTCACCACATATTTTGCAAAAAGCTAGTATTTCTCTGACCTATCCATCTAGAACCCTCTCATAGGACTAAATGAAAGCAATTTGTTCATAAATATTTCAGAAAATCATTTTGTATATATGCAATCAAGACCTTTAAAAACGTTTAAATGTGTACAAGCCATTGTTTCTAGGTAATTTCCCTAGAATCAGCCTAGAATGTTTTTTCAGTGGGGAGGGAAAGTTCTAATGTTCTACAATTCATAGATTCTTCCCTTCTGGATATTTTACTGATAACTGAATTTGGCCTTGAAAAGCTCTCTACAAATTCGTTCAAAGCCTGAATCACACAACAGCCTGGACTGTAATTTTCCTGGGTTTGAAATCTTGGCTTCATATAAAGGAGAAGCAATCATCTAACTTCTGTAGCAAATACTCTGGTTGTTTTACTTTTTCTACTTTGAAGTTCATTTTTCTCCCTGGAGAAATCAGCCTATTTCTTTCATGTTCTTCTCACTCCAAATATATGTATAAAATACTTTATATGGATGGTAAGCCTTTCTAATAATTTATCCCAGGCTCCTTATGAAAGCATCCATGCTACCCATTTGCAATTCTTCTAGGTGGCATGCCCTCTCCTTCCAGATTTTTGTAGCTTGATCAAGTTGACATGAGTTCATCAGATAGTTCCCTAGGTAGGCTAGTTAATACTTAATATTTATATCCCAGGTTGAGGAAATGGGTACAATTCTTCCACATAAAATTGATATGCCAAGAAAGAGAAACTCAGTTATTTCTTTCTGACTAGCAAAATGGCAGAAATCTTCATTTTCACTGCCATATATCTCTATACCCCAAGTAAGCAAAATAATAATAATAATTATTATTTTCAAAGCTGAATAAGTTTCTCTACTGCTTTTTCAGATCACATGATCCACTCTTGTGTAAAATAGAGCCACTGGTTGAGACCAGCACTCGGTAATTCACACATCCCACCGAAGGAAAGAGAAACAAAGCCAGAGTTCAGAAAAGTGTCCCCTCTGAGTGCAGGATGGCTCTCAAACACTTACTTGACCAGGTCATATGGTTCAGGATGCTCTGCAGTTGAACTGCATTAATTTCTGGATACTGAATAGAAAGCAGATTGGCAAGCAAAAAATAATCGTTACTGAAGGCTCATTAGATGGCAGAGGAGACATATGACTGCACAAAAAAAATAAACTGGGATTTTCTAAGTACTTCATGATACTTTTTAACTGTGTACCAAGCCCAGAGAACCCTGGCAGGGCAGGACTCTTAAGTAGGCTTCTAGAGAACAGTGATTCTCAAAGGTGCTATCCAGGTGCTTCTGAAGTTTGGCCAACAATTTGGTTTGAATTTCATTCTTAATAAAATGTCATTAGTCAAAACTCTAGATTTTAACCTTAGAGTTTACTAAAAGAAACTCTTTATATGAACATTTGACTTTAAAATATACCAATGAAATATAAGTATCAAACATTTGATTTTTTAAAACTGATGTATATTCATAATATGCTATTTTAATTGTTTTATATATATTGGGATTATCTATGAGACTTCATTTGATAAAAGGATTGCAGCATCAAATGTTTGGAAACCACTGGTATGGAGGAAAACTTTTATAAACAATACTCATAAGATTCTCATTTATCCTCTCCAGCTACATTAAACAATATTCCAGATGGGCAAGGCAGGTAAGTTGTGACTTTAAATCAGGAATGTCACTAACACAAGGGGCTCAGGTTCTCTGTTTTAGTGACATTGCTCCAAATATCAGACCCCAGATTTCTAGTATGTTTCTCACCTTCTTCCTCCTAAGTGTCTTGTAGGTTAGGGAGAATGTGGCCTCCAGAGCCCTGCACTCACACCATTAGCCCTTGCTAGACTCAAATCTGGGCCAGCCCAAGAGAAGAAGCCACAGGGACCAAGTGTGTGCCCCAGGCTCTCCCCTTTCTTATCAGGCTCACCCCCTCTCCAGGTGACCACTCAAGGGCCCCTTCTCCCTGGGCTCCCCTCTAGTGGTTCTCCCTACAGCCCCCAGGAATTGTCATTGTCATGCTTTCCTCCCCCCCACCACCACCTCTGTCCCACTCCCAACTCTGACTCTCTACTCTGCTATATCCCATTTTCTCATGGATGAAAGATTAAAGTTGCTTTCCTACAACTAATCAACACAACTTCCAAGAACAGATAATCATTTTACAGGAGCCTTCTAGGGCAATGGCTCTACTCATTTGTCTAAAAACTTGAGGACTTTAATAGAAAGTGGCACTTGGGGGAATAGGTAGCCTTAAATCACAGTTTCTATGCAGCCTCAAGCAGATACAAACCTATGTTTTGATGAAATGACATGCTCCACTTTGTCCCCTGTTCTTCCCCACCCTCCCCCACTGCACCTGTTCAACTCACCTTTTCAAAGAATTTGGTGAAGCATTCATTCTGTTCTTCATTTTGCTCTTCTATCTCCTACAGGAAGAGACACGTAGAAAGACATAATTATTCACCTGTATAAATGGACTTGGGTGTATACCCTAATGTCTCATGGCTTCCAGGCTTCTGAAATCCATGAGTTAACTTTGCATTGTCTTTAATTTTACACGACAGCATTTACAAACAGCCCTTGCTTCTCCAATTTTCCCTGACTTTGGGGAAGTCACAAACAGTGAAATGGACAAAAGATACACCAGATAAAAAGAAGCAGAAGAAAGTAGAGATGTAGCTCACATAGCTAGCACTCTGGACCCTCAGTAACAAGGACTTGACCAGTGGGTAGTTCTCTACTCTTTGTTGGTGCAAAAACAGCAAAGCCCAGTTGGGATACACCGGGTAAGGCCTGCCGTAGAACAGGGTCTGTAAGGATCTGCATCTCTCCTCCCCTGACTCCTTAACTTGGAAAGAGAAACCCACATCCTGGCTTGGAAAGCAGTCCCAGCCGTACGGAATTCCACCTGACTACTCACCTTCGAGAAGACAACACCAGAACTGCTGCCAATTTCACTGAGAACAAAAAAACAAAGAAAAAACCCAGAGTTTCCTCTTGGGAATTTCTTGACCAATGTCCCCCCTCTCCTGGGAGCTTGTCTCCCATGTTCCTTCGCCAAGGCACCACAAGCGCCTGCCCACTCTCACACCTCCCCTCCCGCTTCCCCTTAAAGTGTACATTCCAGCCAAGTGCACAGCACACCACTTGTAATTCCCTGCTCCCTCATCTAATTAGTCTTAAAAGACGAGTATGAGACTTAGAGGTCTGACATGGCAGTGGGGCCTGAGACCAAGCCAAACTATCTGTGGCCAAGACATAAAAAACAAACAAAAACAAAACAAAACAAAACAAAAAACACAAAACCTGGCAGGTAAAACAATCATAGGCAAAATAATGTGTTTGGTTGGGATATGTGCACCATAATTCAACTGCATACACTAGTAGAATGGAAGCCTGCTAGTTTATGGCAGCCTCCCCTTACCTGAACAACCCTTATGCATCTTTTAATAGTCACCTCCTCCCTGAAGCCACTCCTGCTTCCCCCAGGACCATAGGAGTTGGCTCAGATTCTCCTCTTTGAGACTCTTCTAACACCCTGTGCATATAAAATGAGTATACAGGATGCACTGGAAGATCAATAACTGCTCATATATCTTTGTCCTTTCCAGACTTTGAACTTCTGGAAGTTCAAAGGGCAGGAGCCATGTATGCTTTATCTTTTTCTCTCTAATGTCTAATATGGTGTTAGTTTATGAGAGGAAGGAGGGCGGGAAGGAAGGGGAGGGATGTCCTTCATGCAGAAAGTAACCTGGTGTCCTGCTCTTCCCATATCTCTTCTGTCTCAGCAGCAGAAACCCTGGTCTCTGCCCTTTCCAACCTTGCCCTCCTTGCCTGCCCTCCTTGCCTGCCCTAGCCCGAGCGGTCCCCAACCTCTAGGAGAGGCCTTGTGTCCTTACTAAAAGATGTGCTTCCTGGAGAAGACCCTGAGGATGAACTCTGACTTCTGGTGAGCCTCCAAGGTGCAGGGCACAATGAGGTATGTCCCTGGATCCAGACACAGCTCCTGACTCACTTCTTTCTCCCTGAGAAACTTATCAGGCTGGCTCAGGGGAGCGTTTCTGTGGAAGAACTCGGGGGGCAGTCTCCTCTCACCATCATGGTACTGTGGGTAGAAGATACAAGAACACCAGGGGAGGTGATGACTCAGGGCTGTGGCCAGGTCTGAGGCCCTCAGCTCTGAGCCAGGACTAAGGTGGCCCCGATCTGCCAAATCCAGTGTTCCCCAGTGGAGGATGAAATGAGAGGGGAGGAGAGGCAAAAGCCAGAATATGTGTGTGGAGGGCTGCACCTTTGCTAGAACCTATCAGGGGTTACATAAACACATGTCATTTGATTTGACTTACCTTAAAAACAAAACCAGCACAAAATGATGGGAAATATGTCCTTGTGCCTGTAGTTTCCGTTTTACAGTGAGAGCTCTGAGGCTTAGCTTAGATCATCTGCCCAGAGTCATCAGCTTGTCACAGTCCCAGCCATGTGGGAATTCAGGACAGCCGAGCTCCATGTTCATGTTCCTTATACTGCCTGATGCTGCCTCCATGTATGTGATGTGGCACGACTGATGGTCACAGGTACAGATGGACCACCACCACCTCCGACCTACACCTCACAGCCACACACAGATAAACTGGACATGCCATGTCATCTCAGGGAAAACACCCTGGTAAAGGACAAAGAGAACTGGGCAAGAGCTCAGAAGACCCGAATCAGAGCTCTGATTCCGACATTTCCTGGGTATCTTTTTTGTTTTATCTGATTCTCTTTCTCTCTCTGTCTCTCTGCCTCCTTCATTTCTCCATCTCTCCCTGTTTTTCTCTCTTGCTTCCTCACCCCTTTGTTCTCGCTCAGGGCTGTAGAGGGAGAGGAGACCCACACCAGGATCCTCTTTCCGGTTTATACACAACTGCTACCCAAGACACCACCCACCCACATCAACAGATATTTAACAAATTCCTCCATACTTTGAAAATAAAATACATATCCTTATGATGTAGGCATTCTTTTATAAGATAATGAGAACTAGGAAATCATCCAATTGCCCTCTTTGCCATGAGCTACTAGGAATCTCAGAGCTAAATTGTACAATGAGCCATAGTAGCTGTGCTAGGTTTAGTTTTCCTGGAAGAAGCAACTGTCTACCCAGCTCTCATCTCTTTGTCATTTTTTCTTGGCATTTAAATTTTGTAACTGATTTGTGGGCTTCCTCTGTTTATACTTGTTTATTGTAGGTTGACCCAAATTCTGTTTAGAAGTAGGCACGACATCAATAACTTTTTCTTTTTAAATTAATAGGCAAATTTGAGAGTGGTCAGTGTTCCTGTAAGGAAAACAACAGAAAGAGACCCAGCGTAAAATGATTTCTTTATAATAGTCCTTTTACATTATTCAGTCAAACCTGAGAAAATTAAGCTTTTACTCCTGTTTTCTTTGGGAAATAAAAGAATAGCTGCCTCCCTCAGAGGATGGGATTCCTTGGGCCTTCCTACCTGACCCCTCCCAGGTGCCACAGCAACTGAAGCCAGACATGTTCTTGTCCCTCACCCATGCTCCTGCCACATGTCCTCAAGCCTCTGTCCCTTCTTCCTGGGGAGGTGGGCTGCACGGACTCTGATGTCCCATATGTTTTAAGTCCATTTTACTTTGGGTTTCATTACCCAGTCAAGATTGTAATTGATCATCTTTCCTATGCTGTGATGGCCTTCAATATTAGCCCTAGGTATTCGTGTAGGAATTTACTAAATTTTACAATTTATTGGTTCCATGCTAGGCTCTGAGACCTCCCTACAGATGCATTAGGATCTCTTGGGGGTCTTTGGATGGAAAGCTTAGCAGATGCGCTTTACTTTCACACAGGCACAAGCAGTTGGCAGACATTCTCATCCTCAGACATTATCATAGCTTCTTATGCAGTATAAGCCTGCTCTGAAGCCCGTGGAGGCTTGGCCACATGCAATATCACCCCAAACTAGGGCCACCTGGTCAGGGGCAGAACTCACCAAGTTCATCTGGAAAACAAAAAAAAGAGGGATCTCATTAGGCAGGGAATCTGGCTCTCTCATAAGCCAAAACCTGAAGAGAAGCTGATATGCAAGGCTCCACCCAGAAGCCCTGTCCCCTCCCACAAGACCTGCTGTTCTATCAGTGACATTTTAACCCATCATCAGAAATTCTGGAAAAGGGGAAGGGAAAAAATGCTTGGCTTTTGGGGAGAGGAAAAGGAAGCCAGTATTGATAGTACTATGTGCCAGGCACAATAACAAGCACTACCACATAATCCTCTTTTATTCCACCTTTTGCCTAAATATCATTGTCCCCATTTTACAGATGAAGAAACTGATGGCCTAGTGCAAGAAGGTGACTTGCTCTAAGTCACATGTTCCTAAAAGACAGTGCCTGCCTTTGAAAACCCAGGTCTGTGAACAGAGACAGATGGTAAAGAGGACAAGAAACAGGAAGACATGGTCACTGCTGGCGACCCTGTGCTTGGTCACATGCCCTGTGGTTCAGAGGTCCACCTACCCTATAAAGGTAGAAGCCAATGGCAAGGTAAGGCTTCTGCTTGCGGCGCCTGTGCCTGGGCTTCTGCAGCAGGGACACCAGCACGCTGCAGGGCCTCAGGGATCTCCTGCCCTCTTCAGGCCTCCAGACAGACAGCAGGAACTGTGGGTTCTTCCAAAATGTGTCTGGGGCAGAACACAGCAAGGTGAGAATGGACCCCGTATCCCCAAGCATCCTGCTCGCCAAACTACTAAGAGGTGAACGGTCCAAGGACACCTCTACCAGGATTAACACCCTGAGTCCCATCAGGACAGAGTCAAGGTCCCTTCAGCCTTGGCTCTATGCCCTCCCTGCTTGCTCTTCCAGCCGGAGGGTTCTCCAGACACACTGAACTGGAGTTGTTCCTACCACTGTAGCCTCTTTGTCTTGCTCAGTGCCTGGCCCAGGTATAAAATACATCATCATGATATGTATTTTATTTGCCCCACAAACATGTGCTACCTGAGTAAGTAATTGTCTTAACTCCCAGGGGAGGTGACCATGATCCTAGGGACCTCTGCATTTACTGGAGGCAAAAACCGTAGCTTAAGTTCAGCTTCAGACTTTGGGGGAAATACCGTCAAAAGGGGACCTCAGAGCTAAGGCCACCCTGGCCCGTTGAGGTCACACCCCACAGGCCTTGCCTTCAAAGGGGATGGCTCACTATCTCCAAAGTGGAGGAAGGGACACAGCCACCAAACCTGTCCCATCTTGCAAGTTCAGACAGGTTCTTCTCCCCTGAATAGCGAGCCTGGGAAGCCCAGGGTTTGTGCTCCTCCCAAGCTCCAGGTGGACAGGACCTGATACAATATCCATTTCAATCCTGCCCAGTTAGTGGGTGGTTACCTTAGTGTTTTCAGTGGCCTTCTCTAAAACTAAAGAAAGATTCTCCCTTGATCCTGCTTTCCCCATGCCTGTGTGCCTGTGAACCCCGGTGGTCACTAGGACAGGGCAAGCCTCTGGAAAGGTACAGCCCCACAGGCTGACGGCTTGACTGAAAGAACCCTGTTATGGTGTACACTGGTACCACAGGGGCCCCGTCCTCCCTGTGGTCATAGCCCAGGACCCCAGCACATAGCGAGACAAGCAGAGCCTCCTCTCCCGTCAGCTAGTGCAGAACTCGTGCTGCACTCCCATGTGCAGTCACTCTCACAACCCCGCTCACAACGTCACCCCAAGAGCCCTGCTCCTGTGCAGACGCTCACCCTGCAGCAACTGCCACCGGCCACCAGCTGTGCTCCCCTTCTCCCATCTCCCCTCCCGAATGGTATATGTCCACTTCTGGGCCGCCTCCTGGGTCAACAGGCCTGGGGTCAGTTTACAGATGACCAGGAGAACAAAATGTGCTTTAAAGTCCTGCAGTGTCATCCTATGGAGAGGAAAAAGGAACAGCACAAACAGATGGACCAGATAACACCTAGTCATCAGGATGCATGGGGAGGGTGAGACAAAGCAGTGGGCATCCCAGCCCTCTCGTGGACAAAGACACCAGCTCTTGTGCAGAGCTGAGCTGGCCATCAGTACATGAGCTGGGGCTGGCTAGATCCCTTTGAGGGTCCATTGTGGGAAGTTGGAGCTGCTGAGAAGACCCTCCCTCTGGCTGGAAGCAGCTGTCCACATGGCTGACTGGGGGAGATGTTCCTGTTTCTGGAATCATGGTGACAGCAGCTGCATTAGTGCATAGCTAACTAGTCATTTGTTTTATCTGGAAATGTTCAGTAAGAATTGCATATCATTCTTAATCATTAATTAATGAAGATCTTTGCCCCTACTTGCTAACTTGCGGCCTGTGACACTCTATTTAAACTGTCTCAGTTTACTTAACCAAAAAGTGGGGGGAAAAAGGGAATTTGCGGGGCTTCAGTTCAGTGAGAGAGCTTCCAAAGGGAGAGGGCTGCAGCAGGCTGAACTGGATGGTTAATGGGAGGAGTCCTTGGAACAAGGGTTGACATTAATAGTAACAGTGGCAAGCAAAAGCAAAGGGGAACTGATGGGGCCCCTGTCAAACACCTAGAAGCAGCATCAGATCAGAATGTCTTGATGGCCTTTCAAAAAATGAGGTGACCGCATGTTCTCACGCATAAGTGAGAGCTGAACAATGGGAACACATGGACACAGGGAGGGGAACGTCACATTCCAGGGCCTGCCAGGGAATGGGGGGATAGGGGAGGTATAGCATTAGGAGAAATACCTAATGTAGATGGCAGGGTGATGGAGGCAGCCAACCACCATGGCATGTGTATACCTACGTAACAAACCTGCATGTTCTGCACATGTACCCCAGAACTTAAAGTATGATTTTTTAAAAATGAGGTGAACAGCTCTGGAATGGGTGGGAGTAGGTGGAAGTGTTATTCTGCTCTGGAGGGCACCAGTTGGGGGGCCTACCCTATGGCAAGACTTTACAGTCTCTTCCTACCTCAAGGCCTTTTCAGGACAAAAAAGGCAAAACCTTTTTTGAATATATTGAGCAAGAGAGCAGGGGGAAGCCAGAGAGAAGGAAACAGCCTGGCAGTGCCCTCCCTGAGCTCCACACTAGTGGCCTCTATTCTCATCACAGAGACTGACCATGTATTTATAGGGGCTGTTTGTCCTGCTAGACCGTGGGGGCCTAATAGGGTGGTGCCTTATTGATTGTACATGAGGTTCCTGGCACCCATCCAATAAACATCTGTTGGATGGGTTTTCAAATGTAGGCCAGGACATTTGTCCAATTCTCCAAGTCCAATACCAGAACTCTCCATCATTGTCTTTCCTCAGAAGCAGAATCTTCTCCTTGGGGCTCAGCAGCTCCCATTTACTTGAACTGAAAATAGAAAAGGGAATGAAAAGCTTGTGGGGGGCATGCTAGAAATTCTTTAGCAAGGAATCTGTAGTGTCATTATTTATTATTATTTTTATAACTGCTTCAGACAACTGAATTTTCCATTCTATATTGCATGGGTAGCATGTAGATTTCGTTGATAGCTTACTATGAGCTAAGCACTGGGCTAGGTTCTTGACATACATTATTTCATTCAAGGCTAACAACAACTTTGTTGTTCTCATTTTAGAGATTAGAAAACTGAAGTTAAGAGAGATTGAGTCACTTGCTGAAGTCATACATCCATTCAATGTCAGAGCTAACATTTGAACCTGCGTCTTTTCAAAGGCCATCATTTGAACTTCTACTTCTGGCCGTGAAGGAGTAAGACTGTCCTGACAGCCTCCTACCATCAAGAAGTAAAAATGCGACAAAATATAAGAAGCTGTTTTCAGATACTGGACAGCAGGCAACATGGGTCTGTGATCCCGGGAGGCTGGAAACAAATGAGGTTTGCCCTCGCATCACCTGGGCCTTCTTCCTGAAGGTAATTTCCTGGTCACAGCTACAGGGAGAGGGACTCTAAAAAGAACATATAGGTCTGGCTGAGTGGAGGAGACAGAATCTGGAATTCAGGGAGATGAAGGCAGCCAGAATTTGCTGGGCAAAGCACCTGAGAGGAGGGGGCTCATAAAAAAGGAGTTCCAGGAACTTCAGAGGGGTTCCCCTGCATCTTTGGCTAAGATTTAGTCTGTGCTTTCTTAAAGTGAAACTCCCCAAGACTGGACTGTAAGCAGAACAGAGTGCTGGGAATCTCATTCATTCCCACCGGACAAAGTTAAAAGACTTTATTTATTTATTTACTTATTTTTGAGACAGAGTCTAACTCTGCCACATAGGCTAGAGTACAGTTGTGCGATCTTGGCTCACTGCAACCTCTGCCTCCCAGGTTCAAGCAATTCTCCTGCCTCAGCCTCCCAAACAGTTGGGATATACAGGCATATGCCACCACATCTGGCTAATTTCTGTATTATTGGTACAGATGTGGTTTCACCATGTTGGTCAGGCTGGTCTTGAACTCCTCACCTCAAATGATCTGCCCTCCTCTACTTCCCAAAGTGCTGTGATTACAGGCATGAGCCACTGTGCTCAGCCAAAAGACTTGGTTGAATATATGGAATCTTTACCAGAGATCCTAGAGGGTCTACAATTTAGTAGTGGAACCAAATTATCTCTGAAATAAAGTTTGTTTTGACTTTCCCTAAAAGTGCTTAAAAACATCGAAGTATCAAAATCCCTAAGCAATGTAACTACTTACTTTAAAAAAGGTCCAATACTCTTTAAAGAAATATAATGAAATTCAGCACAATGAAACTAAAATTTACAACATCCAGCATGCAATAAGAAGTTATTAGCCATATGAGGAAGCAGAAAATATGATCCGTGACCAGGAACAAAAGAAACAGTCAATAGAAACTGACAGAAATGAGAGAGATGATGGAATTAGCAGATACGGATATTAAAACAGCTGTTAGAAAAATGCCCCATATTCTCAAGAATGTAAAGAGAAACATGGACATAATGAGGGGAGAAATGAAAGATAATCTCAAGTGGAATTTTTAGAATTGAAAATATAATATTTAAAATGAAAAATATACTGAATGGGATTAACAGCAGATTAAACACTGCAAAATAAAAGCTCATCATTTGAATATTCATTATACCTCTGGATCGTATAAATTAAGAAGCTTGCCTAAACTAAGATCGCACAGCTAGGAAGCAACAACAGTGTAATTTTACCCATCATCTAGCTCTAATGTTAGTGCTTGTTCCCCTGTGAAAGAAACTGCCACCAGCAACACGATGCTAGATTTCTGTAACACTTTAAATTTATGTATTTCTTTGGATGACGTTTTCCCACATCGACCCAGCTCCTCTAACAACTCTGTTTGCTAATGTGTAACAAATATAATGCAGCACATTCCATCGGGAGGAAAATTCAACTTGTTTGTCTAAGCCTTCATTTTTTCAGTATAAAAATGATTATGTGATAATGTGTATATGGACATGCTTGTATATTCAAAAGACCTGTACAGGATTAAGTACTATAAATCTTCATAATGACAGAAGGAAGGACTTTAGGACTTGACCTCCCTTTCTGCCTGTGCCCTACAGCCAGTGTCTAGCCTGCAAAACCCACATTTCTGTAGGGCTACCATTAGGCAGAAACAACCTAAATGCCGGCATCGAATCAGAATGCCCAGCGGCTACTCTGTGTAATCAGAGTGTAGAGTCCAATCCAAATGTGTCTACTTTGACTCAGCAAACCCAGGAGTATACTGAACCACGCCAGGGAAAGACACTGGACTCAGGCACCAAAGACTTTGCTTGAGTCACACTGTATGACCTTAGGCAATTCAATTAATCCAAGTTTCTCTATTAGTAAAATGGGGATAAAACTATCTACTTGGTAATAGCATTGTTTGGGGGATTAAATGAGATAATAAAAATTCAAAGGGTTTAGCACAGTGCTGGCAAGCCCACAAGTAAACATTAGCTTTAATTATTATAATGAAAGAGAAAGCAGTCTATATACCATAAAGCGTCTTATAAATGTGAGGGATTGAGCATCCCAGTCTGAAAGCTTCCTGATCCAGCCTAAGAGAAAAGGAAGCACACATTTGAATTTCTGTGCAAATGGCAGCCTCCTTTGCCTACACCTACCCATTCTCGCCCCTCCAAGATGTCCCCAAAGTTCACCTGTCACTCCAGTCTCCTTTCCATTCCACTTTTCCCCAGGGGTTCCGTAGCTTGACTAGATACTCAGGTCTATGTTTGCAGGTCACCTGCATAAAACGAGAGGCAGTTTAGGTGGCTGGGCTGAGTGCAAGCATTCCAGAGATCTGAGTGAGATTCAGGCCTGCAGATGAGCACTTGCAGTGGAAAATCACAGGCCCAGAGAGAGCTGATAAAGGAGAAAGTGGCTCTGCTCCTTGTACTTACAAGCTGTGAGACCTAGGGCAAATTGCCTAACCTCTCTGTGTCTCTGTTTCCTGATCTGTGAAATAAGGTCAATAGCCATACATATGGCAGTGGATATAGTCATACCTATGACCCTCCCCAAAGGGGATACATACATTCTGAACCTGTGAACACGACCCTATTTAGAAAAAAGGATCTTTGCAAATGTAATTAAATTAAGGACCTGGAGATGAGATAATTATGGATTATTGTGGGCTCTAAATTCAAATACAAGTGTCAGAAGAGAAGGGGAGAGGACACAGAGAAGGCCATGTGCAGATGGAGGCAGAGACTGAGATATGTAGCCCAATCCAAGGAACACCTGGAGCCACCAGAAGGTGGAGGAGGCAAGCAGGGACTCTTCCCTAGAGCCCTCAGAGGGAACATGCCCCACCCACAACTTGATTTCAGATTTCAGGCCTTGGGAACTGAGAAAATTAATTTCTGTTGTTTTTAAGCACCCCCTCACCACCACCAGTTTGTGGTAATTTGTTGTGGCAACCCTAGGAAACCAATAGATCTTGTGAAAAGAAAGTAAATTTTGGGACCACCCCCTCCCCACCTCGCACTCACTAATCTAAAGGGAAGAGTCAAGCTGGGAACTGCTTAGGGCAAACCTGCCTCTCATTCTATTCAAAGGCACACCTCCGCTCACTGAGATAAATCCATATCTGATTGCCTCCTTTGGAGAGGCTAATCGGAAACTCAAAAGAACGCAACCACATGTCTCTTATCTACCTGTGACCTGGAAGCCCCCTCCCTGCTTCAAGTTGTCCTGCCTTTCCAGACGAAACCAAATGTTCATCCTACATATGTTGATTGATGTCTCATGTCTCCTAAAACGCATAAAACCAAGCTGTGCTCCAACCACCTTGGGCACATATGGTCAGGACCTCCTGAGGCTGTGTCACAAGTGCACATCCTCAACCTTTGCTAAATAAACTTTCTAAATTAACTGAGACCTGTCTCAGCTATTTGGGGTTCACAGCCTATTCAGGCAGTGCTGTGAGGATGGAATGAGTCCACATATGTAAGGCAGTTAAAATAGTATTTAGCACATAGTAAGTGCTATGTAAATTTTGTTAATAAATATGGAAACCAATTAAAAACTCTGGGCACACACACCAACATAGTTGCTGGAGATCTAGAAGGAAGACGTTAAGTGTGAATTGAGTCCAAGAAATTTGAAACAGTTAAAGAAAATTGGAGGACTTGGGAGGAGTCGGGCCCTCTGAAGAATATCAGAGGTTCTCTAACTTAAACCTGCTGACTTCTTATCTCTATGCTGCACATTTCTCCCTCCACCAGAATGCTCTTCTCACTCCGCACAAGTATACCTGTTTCAGGGGCCAACTCAATGCCACCTCCACTGATAAAAGACTTTTCTGACTTCTCCCTAACCCAACTCAGTGAGGTCTTTTCTCCCACCCATGAATTCCTAAAGCCTTTTATCTATACTTTCTTCTGTTTCAACTTTGCTTCCTCCTCATTTTCAGATATGGTTTGATATCTGACTGTCAGCCCTTTGTAGGCAGGTTCTGTCTGGTGCATCTTTCTCTAAATGCCTAGTAGAACTCAAAAGGTGGATAGTAATGGAAACTGTCACATGAAGACTGACATAAAGAAGTGTGTGAGAGAGTAGAAATTTGGGAGGGAAGAACCAGATAAAATGGTTGTTCTTGGCAGCGCAGAGTGAAGTAAAGTTCAAGGAAGGGTCGTGAGATCCCACAGCAGGTGGGAGGATGGTTGGCTGAGGGCTGCCCCAGGAGATGAGGTTGGGGTGGTGCATTGGCAGTGACGAAGGCTGGACCCACCACTTTACCCCAGGAAATAGGTGCAGAGGCACAGGGACCTACCAAAGACTTTACCCACTCCCCAGAGGGTGCAGAAACTAAATCCACCAAGAAGAGCTAGGGCCCAAAGAGGGAAGGGCAAGGCTGAGAGGGAAACCGAGGGGCTGACCTCAACCCACCTTCCTGATTCCTGTGAGAGTATAGGCATGGCCGTCCACCAGCCCGTTCTCCAGAACCTTCTCTTCCTGCAGAGACAAGAGAGGTCCTGATCAGTCTGCTGCTATCTACAGCTTATTCCTTGAGTCATGGGAGGGCTGCTTGGCTGGAGCAGGGGTTTATGGAGAGAAATGTGGGAGAGAATAGAATCATGGTATGGTACATTGCAGTTTTCAAAGCTTTTTGGTATCCATAGTCTAATTCCACCCTCTCAATAGTGATCCATTCTGCAGTGGTCATGTCATACCCTCCATTTTATGGAGGACAATTTCCTTTAGAGTTGTGTAGTCAGTGTGTGAGGTGACATGCTTGGCCATCAGTGAAGGCAGGGCTGACCTGAGGGCTTCCTACTCCTCTTCCATGGTTTTGGCTGTTATCAAACAGGATGGAGAAAGTGCCTTGCGTGTAGCTGGCCCTTAATAATTGTTAGCTTCCTGCTCTGCGCATCATCTTTTTCCTACTGCCTTGCCTGCCCTAATGCCTCAGTACTGCTACTCTGTTTTTTGTTTTGTTTTTTTTGTGTGTGTGGTTTTTTTTTTAAACAGACTCTCATTCTTGTTGCCAGGCTAGGGTGCAATGGTACAATCTTGGCTCATTGCAACCTCCGCCTCCCAAGTTTTAGTGATTCTCCTGCCTCAGCTTCCCAAATAGCTGGGAATTCAGGCGACCGCCAGCATGCCCAGCTAATTTTTGTATTTTTAGTAGAGACAGGGTTTCACCATATTGGCCAGGCTGGTCTCAAACTCCTGACCTCAGGTGATTTGTCTGCCTTGTAATCCCTTGCTGGGATTACAGGTGTGAGCCACCGCACCCGGACTTGCTGCTCTGGTTTGAACACCAGGACCTCAGCAATAGGAGCTGGGTGGAGGTCCTGAGCCCACACTCAGGGACAGCAGTGATGGTAGATGGAGAGAATGGCTGCAGGAGAAGAGAACATTCTGCCAGTGTCAGCCCAGTCTCACCCCTGAGTGGGTCTGGCAGCCAATGAGGGTTCTGTGGTAGGTGGCTTTGGTAAGGAGGTCCCAGAGGTTGCCATGGGCTTCTGCCAGGTTGATGGTCATCGTCACCCCTCCAGTGAAGTCTATAAGGGCTTCAGACACCTGTCCACACTGCAAGTCTTCATAGGAACCAGAGAGCCTTCCCAGGGAAGAAATAAACATGAGAGGAAGAGTATAGTGAGTGTTTATAATTTTATGTGGCCTTGGCATCCACTTTTAAATAGGAGTTTAATCTTCTCATACCAAAAACGGCACAGGCAACCCTGACAGTTTCCAATCCAATGCCCATCCTGAATGGCTCCACCTGGTGGTCATAGATAAAACTTAGAGGCATCTCTCCTGCCTAGAAGACTGGGAACCTCTCTTTCCCACCACTTCCTTTAAGTGAACAGTTCAGATGTTTGCCTGAGATCTTAAAGTGACTGCCTGTCAATCACAGCAAGATCTCCTAGAACTAGTGCCTGCTTGCTTTGAATCCATCAGTTAAATCTGCTTGAGGGAAACCCATAGGACAACACCCTGGGCTCAAGAAAAGGTATGGGTCCACCACGGGTCCATTTTCTCTCTTTCTGCCTGGGCTCCCTGACCTCCATGTGCAAGTGTACGGGTGTGTGCAAGTGTGTGTTTGTGCATGTTTGTGTGTGTATGTGAGTGTGTGTGTGCCCTCCATGCATGCCAGTACCCTCTAGGGGGTATGAAAAACTCTTAAATTTTCATGTTGTGGCTGTGTGATTGAAGATGTGCCCACAATCCGATCCCTGATGTTCAGGTTCGGACTGCCCCACAGGGACCCAAGCAGGTGGATCCCCTGCTACTGTTCCTTCATCCAGGCCTCTCAGCTGCTGGGGGCAGCAGTGATTAGCTAGGTTGAGAGAGTTTCATTCAAAACAAAGGAAGGGGCATTTAAACTATAGATGAGACTGTCTGAATGAGCAGTGAAGCCTTTGCTTAGGTATTCTTTGGGTGTATCTTGCTACTTCTTCCTTCCACCCCAGGAGCAAAGGAGAGAGTATACACTCAGAGCTTCAATTCTCCTTAATTCCATCCATTACAGAAAGGCAAAACTCTTGAATGCAGGTTTCGATGAGGTGACCCGCACACAAAAGACTCTGAATACATTGTCACTTCTATGTCAGCTGAGACATGCCTCAGGATCTCATTTCATAAACTTTACCTGACTCCACTCCCCTCCCTCAGCATTGAGAGAGAGAAAAAGATGCGAAGGGGGATATTTCTGCCAGTTTCTTACTTGGCATAGGCCTTTTCCAGAAGCGCACCCCAGAACAAGTTCTTGTAGGTGGAGGAGACAAAGACCAGCTGGCCAGCCTCATTCACAGGAAGACGGTCATCAATCACCACAGGAACCCAGTTCCCGTACTGCCAAAACTGGAGGGAGAGAGTGGCCCCTGGTGAATGAGGACTCCTGCAGATGGTGGTGAGCCCAGAAGGTGAAGACATGGTCCTCCAGAAACCCTCTTTCCTACGGCTTCCTCTGGCCAAGGCCCTGGAAGACACTCACCCAGAACTGGAAGATGCCAGCATACTTCTCAGTGAAACTCTGATTCAGGGGAACAACCCGGCTCAGAACGTCCTGTTGCAAGGTCAGAGCTTGCAAGGCAGCCAAGAACCAGCAGTCTCCTAAGTCAGACAGCACACAGCATCTGCATCAATCTACTGGGGACTTCATGCCTGCAGGAAATGCCCAGTCCCAGTGGCTACCCTGTCTGGGCTAGCAGCCTAGTTTAGGAGAAGGGAAGTATATACTGGGAAGGCAGACGATGAGTGAGCAGAGCAGGGCACTGGGAGCACTGGCTGAAATCCAACTTGACACCAAAACCAGAGCTATGTTCCTGGACCAGCTTTTAGATTCCTGAATGCCCTATCCTCAGGAATTTGGACCTGAACATCACCCGCTTTTCCAAATCTTGCCTCTGAAACTGATTTATGTTCTTCTGAGAAAGCCTCAACCCTTCGGGACCCCATTTCCCTGTCTGTGAAGTGGATATTACTGGACTTGGGCCTTCCCTGATGATCAATTTACTATTTTTCAAAGTAGAATTGAGGATAGATCTGCTTTGATCCTATTCTGGGAGGCTAATGACTGCTGTCTCAAGAAGGCCCCATTGTGGGAGCTAAAATAGAGTGAGCACATTTTCCAAACTTAAAATTTAGACCTGTCAACTGGTAATGAGGATGATGTGAGGACTTAGGCAGGATATGGCATTCCCACGCATCCTCAGAGGACCAGTTTTTATAAACTTCACAGCAAAGAACAGAGCCTGTCCAGGTGTAGTTCAGGGTTTGCCAATGAATAACCATTTCTGGGGCTCTCTCCAGCGGTGATCTCTGGATTCTCTTCTTTATCATCCACTCTGTCTTGGCCAGGCCTGGCCAGCAGGCCACCTGGTGTGTGGTCTCTGGGGACTGTGCAAACTTACCTACAATGCCCTGGCACAGATCCAGCCTTTTAGCCTTGCCAGAATAAAACTGGGGATTGCTGTGCAGCTCCTGGGGGAGACAAACAGAAGTGTCATTCTGACCTAGACCAACAAAACTCCTGGAGCTACGGGGACCATGTTTTCCCATACCCCAAAACTAGACTTAGGGGGACAAAGATACAGAATATATGTGAAATCAGTGCTATCCCAAAAGATCTGGGATACACAATTCCATCCTTGTATTTCTCATTCCCTCTTACAGCTCGTATAAGTCACAGCCCTGGAGAACTCTGTGTAGATACTGAGGTATTCTCAGTTTTCCTAGAGGTCTTCTCTTTCTTTTCCTCCCCTATTCCTCCTTCCTATTCCTGACCACTATGATGGTTTCTCTGGCTTTTCCTGCTGAGATGCAGCCTGGAGTGCGGTGGTAAGGGGGTGGTCTCTCCTCCGTGGCAAAATCTAAATCCTTCAGTCTTTGCGTGGACAGTGTCCCCAAGAGTCAGGTATAGAACAGAGTCTCGGTGTCAGCAGTTCCCAGGATTTCCATGTAATGTAGGAGGCTCACTGCATACTTTTACACACAGTAGGGACTTCATAAGTCTGGGGCTGAAGGTATCAGTGGTGATGGGTGAGTGGGGAAGAGTAAAGGAAACCATCTGTGGCACAGGCTCACACCTCACCCTGTTCGCTAGCCGTGTTCCTGAAACCTTGTATGTAAATCAAGCTTCAGGGAGATGGATTACATTTGAACACATTAAGAAGTTGCTTTTTAAAGGAATTGATGTGTTTTATAAAGTGAAGAATACTTCTGTAAAGTGATTAATAGCTTCTTAATTTACATGTTTCATGAGCCTGTTTTGTGGGGAGGAGGTTGGCGATATGTTAAAATGTATCTCTCTGGCAGATGGGAGTATTGGCTGTGACTCAGGAAGCCTTGCCATCTCAGATGAAGCTAAACAGTACCTTGATGTATTTTTGGCTCTAGTTGCTCTGCATATTTCTGGGCAGGGCTGAAGGAGAGCTACATCTTATACCACTCTCAAAATCACCGCTGGTTTTCTCCATCTGGAAAGTGAGAATGTGGGAACGTACCCAGTTCCCTTCTCAGGGAGATCAATGACAGTGAGACCTGGCGTGATATTGGGAAATATATATTTGGTCACCATTTGCTCAGTTCTCTGACATTCAGCTCCTAAAGCCTGAGGAAACTCTAGAGTGATGAGTGTCATTTGCATGCTAATGATTGACTGGTAGCTGGTGTTCCCTGGATAGCTTCAGGATAGGGTCTGGCCGTTGAAAAGACCAAGGCAGGATTCAAAGGTTGGGGCTTTTAGCCCTACCCCCTGGCCTCTGGGGAGGTGAGGGAAACTGAAGGTTGAGTTGATCACCAAAGGCCAATGATGTAATCAATCACACCTAGGTAATAAATCTTCCATGACAATCCAAAGGACAAGGTATAGGGAGCTCTGGATATCTGAACACACGGAGGTCCCTGGAAGGTGGCATACCCAAGGAGGGCATAGGAGCTCCACAACCCTCTCCCATGCCTTGGCTTATGCCTCTCTTCTACCTGGCTGCCATCTGCAACCTTTGTAATGCCCTTTATAATAAATCATTAAATGTAAGTGAAGCATTTCCCTGAGTCCTGTGAGCCTCTCTAGTAAATTAATCAAACCCACAGAGAGGATTGTGGCAGCCCTGATTTATGGCCAGTCATGAGAAGTACAGGTCACAACCTGGGACTTGTGATTGGCTTCTGAAGTGGGGGCAGTCTTATGGGATGTGCATTCAACCTGTGAGATCTGACACTGTCTCTAGGTAGACAGTGTTAGAATTAAATTTCATTACAGAATACCCACATGGTGTCCACTAGAGAATTTCTTGGCATGTGGGAAAAGCCTCCCACACATCTGGTGTTAGAAGAGTATGGAGTATGTTGTGTTGAGTGGAGAGTAGAGAGTAGGAAAAAGCCTTTTTTTCCTCCCATATGTCTTAGATATTTGAATGCCCTAAACCCTGGGGCAGGAGGGCCTGCGTCACCGGGGGCCTCTTCCACTGTAGGCGGGGTGGCAGCTTCTGCAGCAGGGACCCACTGCCGATGGAGCTCTGGGTGGCTGGGAAGCTGGTGTCTTCAAAGAGGCAGCCATTCCTCAGGCACCCTGCCAGCAGGGCCTTGAAGTCCTGATGGGGAAGCTGTGCAGAGGCCCCTCTAGAGTCCCTTGGCCCTGGCTTCCATCCGCATCGGAAAGGTGGCCACAGAGACATGGCAGGCAGTGGGTACAGTCCTGTGAGTCTTCCCAAGGAGTCTGCTATGCCTGAAATGGAGAGAGGACGGTCAGTTTCCTCACTTCCTGCTTGTGCTTTGCCATTGCTACAGAGAGGAGGGAAAGGATGGAGAGAATGGGAGAGGAGAAATCAGCCAGTAAGAAAGAGACAGAAGCAGGTGGTTCGATTTTGTCCCAGACAGTGAGGGTCCTTGCGTACTCAAGTGCTTGAGGACCTGGTGGGGGATCAGGGATCCTGTGTCAAAAGCCTGCAGAAGGGAGAGGTTTCTCAAGCCTCAGAGCTAGGTCCCGGGCCCCTGACTGCACCAATGTCACAGGGGTCGCTTCTGCTTAGTGGGGAGGCAGGAGAAGAGAAGCAGGTAGCTGGAGCTCAGTTGCCTGGGCTGGAGGGTCCTGTGCCTGCCAAGGTAGTGGGGAGCAGTGGCTGTCTGCTCAGGCCTCCACCAGGGCCTGCCAACTCCTGCCTCCCAGCTACAGACACGTGGCATTCCTCCTGCTTCAATGTCCTTCTTATTCTTTTCTATATAACTTCCTTCTACATTCTTTATTTTATTTTTATTTTTTTGAGACAGAGTCTCATTCTGTTGCCCAGGCTGGAGTGCAGTGGCACAATCTCAGCTCACAGCAACCTCCATTTCCCAGGTTCAAGCGATTCTCTTGCCTCAGCTCCCGAGTAGCTGGGATTACAGGCACCTGCTACCACACCCAGCTAATTTTTGTATTTTTAATAGAGATGGGGTTTTGCCATGTTGGCCAGGCTGGTCTTGAACTCCTGACCTCAAATGATCCACCCACCTCGGCCTCCCAAAGTGTTGGGATTACAGGCGTGAGCCACTGTGGCCGGCCTACATTCTCTTTAAAAAGAACTCCTTCCTTGAAGACTCTCTTGGTAATATAAAAGGAAGGGAAAAATCACAGATATATATTGTGGTAAATACCAACAGTTGCCAGCACATGCCCGTTCTCCCCTTTTCCTTGTTCACAGAATCCCTGTTTTGATAACCCAGCTACAAAACTTGATTTCCCCGGGCTTCTTGCAGGACAGGTTGGCTACACAATATAGTTTTTCACTTGACGGTTGCAAAACCACCCATCTTATCTGGCCTCCCTCTTCTCCACCGCACATTTTTCAGGTGTTACAACTGAAACCCGTCCATTCATTCACCAAAAATTTTACTGGAAACTTGTTATTTGTCAGGGTGAGCTAGGCATTGCTCACTGAAGGCAGTCCCTGCCCTTATGGCTCTTACAGTTTAGAGGGTGGGAGGGTGGGAAGGGTTAAATTATCTTCCTGGTGCTATTCAGAGAGATTTTAAAAGGGCTGTATCCAGAACCCTGGCTCCCATAACATTCAGCTCTCAGTGCTACAAACTGCCCATTGCACCTAGCACAGTGTTTGGGACAAAATGTACACGCACTAAAAGTAACTCACAAACATGCTTACACTGAGTGTGAGTACTCCCTCATGGCCATAGAAGTCCTCTCCATTTGTCAAGGTCCTGCCCATCCCCCAAAATCTGACTTGAGTCCCTACCCCAGGAAGCCCTCCTTGAGTACCCAGCATTCGCTGAGATCCCCTCGTTCTGTCTACTACTCCACAGGGCGCCCTACTGTCTTGGTGTTTCTCAAATCATCACTAGTGAAGGGCCTATGTTCTTTTATTTCCAATTTGTCATAGAAATGTAATGAAAGCAAATGAATAGAAACATTAAATTTTAAAAGACATATAAATTCAAGCCCCCCTTTAAAATTTTTTTCAGGTCAGGTGCAAGGGCTCAGATCTGTAATCCCAACACTTTGGGAGGCCAAGGTAAGCAAATCACTTGAGCCCAGAAGTTCAATACCAGCTGGGCAACATGGCAAAACTTCTGTATAAAAAAATACAAAAATTAGCTGGGCATGGTGGTGCATGACTGTAGTCCTAGCTACTTGGGAGGCTGAGACAAGAGGATCATGTGAACCAGGACACAGAGGTTACTGTGAACAGAGATAGTAGCACTGCACTCCAGCCTGGGCAACAGAGCAAGACTCTGTCTCAAAAATCAAAATAGATTAAACAGAAATTCAATTAAAATTGTTTGATCAATTGCTATAAAAGTTTCTAAACACTTGCTCTCAGTTTTGTACATAGCTCATCAAGCACTGCTGGTGACCAGTTGATGGAGTGGCCCTGTACTGGTTCTGCTCTGAGTGATGCATGCACAGAAGCCTCTTCTGCCTAATACTGGCTTTTTAATCCCCTGCAGAATTAGCACTGCTGGAATGTTGTTTGTCTCACACCCTTACGTCTGAGAGCTAAAGGCATTTGATTCCTGGCTATTCTTATTTGTCACGATGCCTGCATACTTCCTGGGGGAAGACCCAGCTCTCTTCTAATCCAGGTCACAGAGACCCAAAAGCTGTTACTCAGGTCTTGTGCTTTTCCCTGGGTTTTTTTTCCAAACGTGGAAGAGTAGGCAAACCTTCCCCCAGGCTTACTCCATTTTCTTCCCAACAAGTTCCCTCTACCACCTGTACATTTATAAACAAAGTTGAGGCCTCACAAAGGCAAGGTCTCCCTTTATGCCTCTTCAAGCCCGAACAACAATCCTTTACTGCTTCTTCCATGAAAAATAATAGAGGGTCCCCTGGCTTCAGAAATTCACCCAGGCTCATACCCGCCTTACCCAGTGCTGGGTCATACTTAGATTTCCCCCTAAGCTTGCAAATACTACATATCATGACAAGCACAGTATATGATGGGCTTGGAAGACAAAATGCCCATCACAAGTTCCTCCCACCCTTCAAAATTTAGGATGAGGCCACACATGTGTGCATGCATGCATGTGCTCAAGCACACACACACACACACACACATGCACACACACACCTGATTTTTAAATAAGTATTGCTAAGTCACCTTATGGAGAATATAGGCCCAGATGAAACCAGTTGGCAGTTCTTGTACGTTTCCTATACGTTACAAACCATGGATGAATTCGGTTCATTCCCTGATTGGCACAGCTCTCTGCAAAGGACCAGATGGGTCTTGGTCACATTTGGAAATTCATTTTGACCCTATTGTTCATTTTGACCCTGCAATGGAGCAGGTCCACAAAATAAGACTATGCAAATAGATAGGGGAAGTCTAATGGGGTTAGAGCTATTTAAGAATGTTCAGCCTAAAAGCATTCTCTATGGGCCTCAGAATTCTTTCCTTAGCTCCCCACAAGCTGCTAGACTGTTCTGCAGTGTTTTGCATGTCAGGATTAATTGTTTTTATTAGAGACAGGGTCTCACTCTCACCCAGGCTGGAGTGCAAAGACACGATCATAGCTTACTGCAGTCTTGAACTCTTGGGCTTAAGGGATCCTCCTGACTCAGCCTCTTAAGTAGTTAGTAGTTAGGACTACAGGTGCATGCCACCACGCCCACCTAACTTTTATATTTTTTTTGTAGAGACGAGATCTTGCTATGTTGCCCAGGCTAATCTCTTAACTCCTGGCCTCAAGCGATCCTTCCACCTTGGCCTCCCAAAGTGCTAGCATTACAGGCATGAGCCACTGTGCCCATCCAGGATTTATTTACACTCAGGAAGTAAAAAAAAGGAAGCATAAAAATCAGACAGCATAAAAGGACTATTATTCACAGAAGAGATTATTTTACATGTAAAATATCGAAGAAAATATTTTGAAAACTATAGGAAATAGAATTCAAGAAGGTCAATGAATACAAGTTAAATACACTATACAGAAACTCAGTGGTTTTCTTTTTACAACAGCAACAACCAACTAGAAAATGTATCAGGAAAAAAAAAGATCTATTCTTCATAGCAACTCAGGTTCCTTCCTAGCTTGAGTAAACTGGGGCCATTAATCAAATATAGAGTCAGTTGTAGGCTCTGTGAGCAAAATGATTTTAGATACAATCTTCATAGACAAATATGCAATCACCAATGAAGCTGTGTATAGATCCTGGCCTCAGTATCATTAAATGCACACACATACACACACACACACAATGTGAAGAAAATACATATAAATAAGAATATGAACTGTCTCTGGATAATGTGACTAAGACTTTTGTTTTTCTTTATTATACTTTTCTATATTTTCTGGACTCCTTGATTAGTATGTATTACTTTTACCATGAGGAAAAAATGTGTTTAATAAAAATACAATATTTAAAAAAAGCAAGTCAGTGGTTACTTGGGGCTGGGAGGGGGAATTGCCTGGGGAGGAGTAAAGCCTAAGTTTTGGGGTAATGGAAATGTTCTATACTGACTGTGGTGATTGCATCTGTATATCTGTTCATCAAAACTCAATGAACTATGCACAACACACTTAAAAACATGGCCAGGCACAGCCAGGCATGGTGGCTCTTGCCTGTAATCCCAGCACTTTGGGAGGCTGAGGTGGGTGGATCACAACATCAGGAGTGCAAGACCAGCCTGTCTTTACTAAAAATACAAAAATTACTCAGGTGTGGTGGTGGGTACCTGTAATCTCAACTACTCAGGAGACTGAGGCAGAGAATTGCTTGAACCCGGGAGGCAGAGGTTGCAGTGAGCCAAGATTGTGCGACTGTACTTCCAGCCTGGGTGACAGAGTGAGACTCCATCTGAAAAAACAAAAACAAAAACAAAAAAAAACCATGGTCAGGCGCAGTGGCTCACATCTGTAATTCCAGCACCTTGGGAGGCCAAAGTGGGCAGATCACTTGAGGTCAGGAGTTCAAGACCAGCTTGGCCAACACAGCAAAACCCCATCTCCACTAAAAATACAAAAATTAGCTGGATGCAGTCGCAGGCGCTTATAATCCCAGCTACTCAGGAGGATGAGGCAGGAGAATTGCTTAAACCTGGGAGGCAGAGGTTGCAGTGAGCTGAGATTCTACCACTGCACTCCAGCCTGGGTAACAGAATACAAGTCTGTCTCAAAAAAAACGCACATACACACAGCACATGTTTATTATATATAATCATACCTCAATAAAATTGATTTGAATTAAAATTTTATGTAGAAAAACCAGAGGATCAGTCTGATTCCTGTCTCATTGGCATCATCATGCTGAATTACTGCCTTGATTTAGAATAATATCTGCCAAATCCTGGCTTTCCTCTGTGGTGGCTACTTTTTCAATCATCTCTGAAGCAGTTGAGAATTGTGGGCTCCATTTTAAAGTGGGAAAAACTGAGACTCTAAAAGATAGAAAGGAATTTCCCAGGAATTTCACCGAAGTACAAAAATAGTAACTAGTTCCCAGGGGTCCATTCAGTGTCTTGAGTCCCTGCCCTGATGTTCAGTTCATTCACATGTTTATCGAACACCTACTACGTGCCAGACACTATGTCTCAGGCTGGGAACATAACACTTGGCCTTTGATCAGCCTATAAGGGTAGAGTCAATTCTCTGGAAAGGAAGCAGAAGAAATAAGGACTATGCCCTCACTCACATGAACCTAAAGAATTCTCCTAGGAGACTATGGATTTCCAGAGAACTCTGGCATCTTGCCACAACCCACTAAGTTGTCTCAGGCAAAATTGGAGTGGAAACCCAGGTTCCTTGCACAAGTCTCTGTCTACATGATAAAAAGCACCAGATTGAAAAACCAATCAATTCCCTGTTCTCAACGGTCTGAAAAAAAGAACAAGAATAACTATAGGCTTTGCCTGATTTATCTTGAGCAGGGATTGTACTACTTTTGCGT